CTGAAATTGAATCACTTTCTTGCCTGACAACTGTGACTAATTTCAAAGGCCCAACAAACCAATCTGCTCATGATGACTTTGGGGTCAATTACCATTTGGGGGCAGATTAGAATCTGATCTGAAGCTGAAAAATTCCACCCTATGGTGCTAATCTCTTGAACTTCCCCATCCTAAATAGAGCAAGTTTCAAAAACCAACGTTTCTTATTTCATAGTGTACCTGAATATTGTCTGTAATGATTTTGCTTAATCAAAAAATTAATTAAATTCCTGCTCTAATGGTCTAAGCACAAGACTCAGAGGAAGGAAGGAGTACTGGCCAACTGCCAAGGTTCCATCTGAGGCTGTTGGAGTTAATAATTTCCATGGTGTTTTAAGCATTAGAAACAACAAAGGCCAGCTTTCACTAGTAGCACTACTGATTCTGGCAAACGTGTAAAAATGGGGCCTGTTCTAAGATAACTTATATTACAGAGAATTAAGTTTTCAATAAACAAAATGAAACCAACAGTCAAGAAACTGGGTAATTCTGCTATTTTCTGATATGTAATTCAGTATGTATGCTATTTTCTTCATATGTAAATGAAATTAATCAGGTCTTCACTACATAGGTTGCAAACTGTACCCCACTGGCTAAATCTGACTACAGAAGGAATTTTACTATGTCTTCTGGTTTCTTTCTCTCTCTCTTTCTCTCTCTCTCTCTTGAACTGGCTGCCAACATTAAAAACTCAGAAGATTTCACATAAAAATGCTACTCCTGGAGTTGGATAATTTAGCAACTCTAGGCTCACATTTCGGCAGGGCAGCCATGGGCAAGAACAGAGGAGTGACAGCCTCTTTAGAGACTTTACCCAGCCTGCTTCACCTGGTAACATTTCTTACCTAGCTCTGTACTTCCTTTCTTCCTCCTGAGCACTATCCCGCAGGTTAATCCTCTTATGAGAAATACTGCTGTTGTTAATACTTGTGGAAGGAAGAAACACATGCATAGTACCACTTAAAAATGAAAAATAAAAATCCCTTACATATAAAAGTCCTGAGCTTTCAGGATGGAAAGCACGTGGCATTTCTTCCAAATATTCCTTTTGCTATGTCAGCTATGGGTTTTACTACACAGAAAATTCTATTTGAAACTTGAAAACTGAGGTTTATAAAATCATGAACTCTTCTGAAAAGGTGACTAACAAGAGAATGAGAATCTGGGATTTTTCATTACCTTACTTTATGCAAACACCAGAGTGAACAGTGAAGATAGGAAGCTAGAAATGACCCACTATTCCACTCTTTTGGAACCACTATTCCACCATGCCCTTACCTCAATAAACACTAAAATAAAATGGGACCTTCCATGTCTTTTGTCCCGGACAAATTTAAATCTTTATCCCCCAAAAGGTGGGAGACAGGGAGAAAAAAAATTCTAGAGTGATGCAGATTCATATTCCATTTTAAGCTATAGGCTAAACCATGCAAAATTTGAAGCATCAAAGCAATTTGATGTTTTCCAGGAAGAAAATATCACTCTTGATTACACCACCATCATCTGCTACCAGTGGCCCCTTCTAATGTATACAAGGCTTTGAGAAAGAAGATATGCCTGCTTTCCCCTCAACTAACATGTATACCTGAATATAAGGTAAGACTGCCCAGGTTTCTGGACCAAAAGACTGAGAAACAAACCTCAAATTCACTCCATGCTTCAATGGGGACAAAAAACAAAGAGTTAGAAACCAACCCAACTGAGGAAAAAGGTTGGCTATACTGAAACTGGTCCATAAACCAAATGATCTGTTCTACTACTAGTGTTTCTTTAATGCAAAAATAATTCCTAAGTGATTAGTGAGCAGAGTAGAGGCCTCAGAATGTGAAAGTCATGCTGGATATGTGATTTGCAACAATTTGATACGATCAGCTGAAAGCTTCCTTTCAATTAAAGAGAAAATCTTAGCAATGTATGAAGACCTTCAGGAAAAAAAAAGACCTAAAAATTCTTTGGAAGTGCCTTCCCTTAGTGCAAGTAATGGTTTATCGTCACAAATTCCACTAGATTAAGCTCTCTGGACAGCTAAAAGTGCACATAAAGATGCAACAAACACACTGCTCTCCATAAAAACTGGTTAATGTAGTTGTGTACACCCTGGACCAGTTTTACTTTTGAGGATGAGGTCTCCATTAGAAGCACATGACTTTAAGGGCTTGCATCTTGGAGAAAGGAAGAACTGCAAATGGCCAATCAGCTATCATGCTGGCTGCAAAGGCCAATGGAGATTTCATTAAGGTACTGATTTTATTAGGATAGTTACTCTGCGAATGCTTTCATACAATGAACAAAGTTCCCTAAGTTTTGAGTGGTCTGCTTCTACCACTGTTTTCTCCCCTTTTGTGTACAATTTTGCAGAGGAAGAGGTTTTTCAGGATTACATATACTATTGAGACCAAAATTATTACACTGCCATTTTGTTGGTCTTCTCATAAGCCAATATGCAATATTATAAAGTGTAGTGGCTATCACCGTCTGTAATCTGAGACACTATAGTTATAGAGAGTTATAAAGTGGTGTTGGGTCTGGAGACATAAGGCAGATGAGTATCCCATCTCCCATGGAGAGCACTATCACTCCTGAATCCTGAGGAGATGGAGGCCTGCATTCCTGCATCCTAAAGAAGAGATACAGATCTGCCACAGGGCTGATGAGCAAAATGCTCTCAAGATTGTTCCCTTCCAATAAAGGTGCAAACCAAACCAGTTCACCTGAGAAAGCCCTCAAATCCATGGCCAATGAGAAAAACCCACCTAACCCAGAGTTAGAACATCCATAAAAACCCTAGCCTTCACCTGAGCAGCGAGCTACTGGCCTCTGGGCTCCGCTGCAGTTCCCTAGCTGTAGCCTTTCCTTTCTCTCTAATAAATCCTACTTTATATACTGGCTTTGGCTCAGCATTCAGCTGCCTCACAAGCCAAAGGCAAGGACCCTCGACACCAGCACGTAACACATACAGTGGTTTCTTTCTTTCTTTTTTTGATGTTCCTAGAGTTTGAACTCAGGGCTTCATGCTTATTAGGCAGGCACTCTACCACTTGAGCCACACCTCCAATCTAGACATGTGGTTATTAAATGGAAAAACTTGTTAGAATTTTGTTTTCAGTATTCTCCAAAACTGTGCTCCTGCTAAAAATGCAATTCTAAAGACTGTGCCCCGAAATACCCCAAAATGTTTATGGTATATAACATCAGTTAACAAGAAAAGTCAAAATACACACTAAAAGGTAAAAAATAAATGCAGGTGGGAGGTAACAAAAACTGCACTGGAGTAGTGGTGAATATAAAAATAAAATATCTTATTTTCTACATCAGCTACTTCCTACAAATGTTTGTTAATTTCTTCCTTTTACCTAGGATTAATTATCAGTTAGTGGAAATTTATAGAAAAAAATTTTATATTCACAAAATAACTGATCACAAATGTAGCTAAACATACCAACTACAAGACTGTTCTTCAAGACAAATGTTTCAATATATTAGGAGGTAATGGGAAAGAGCAACAACTGCCAGGTGTGATGACATGCCTATAACCCCAGCATTCATTCCACAGGCTAAAGCAGGAGGATCCCAAATTCCAGGCCAGCCTAAACCACAAATCTGAGATTGTCTCAACCCCTCCCTTAATCCTCCCTCCCAAAACCGCAACAAAGTGTTGGTTAAAGATTTCTGAATATTACTTGACTTATATTTTGAACAACCAACACAAGAACTAGCGTTTCCTTCCCTCAATGTGCCAGAAGTGGCTCGGGGATCCCTGGGACTAAGGAATCTGGACAGGAACCTTGGCTAAAAGTCAGCACTGTAAACAAGGTGCTCTCCTGGCGTGTGAAGCAGCTGTCATGATCTAAAGGACCACCAGCTGAGGCAATGCCCTTGACTCTGCATTACCTATGTGGTGAGAAGCAGCCACATAGGTTCCTGACAGAATAGCCTTGCTTTGGAATAAAAGTTGTCATAAATTACCCATATATCAGAGTTATCAATTAGCTAATAGACATGAACATTTTCTAACAAGCAAAACATACAAACATCACAGAGTTATTTCTTTAAAAGAAAACACACAGGAGCAAACGAGAACAGGAACCACTGAGAGTAAAGCCTCGTTTAGCAGATACCAGTTTAATTCGGCATAGTGCATGACTTAAAGCATTGACATTCCATAGCCAACAAGATTTCCTACTTCTCTATTACAAAATACTGGACACCCTGAATAGAGTTAATTCAAGGTCCTGGCTCCATTTCTCCAATAACTAGAATTAAACAGGTTTCCCTGTTTAGAACAATTTCACATTCACTGAAGGCTTTGGGGAAGAGGGGGAAATAGGGCTTCTAACTGCCCCTCTGAGCCAAAGGCACTTAAAGTTACAAGATAAAGCACAGAAGAGTACCCCACGGACATTCTGTGTTCAGACTGCTGAACTTCATCATAATAATGTAAAAGACACTGATTTCCTTGGAAAAACAAAGTGCAGTATGGATATAAAGGACTCACTGCCCTCACACCCCCCTCTCTGAAAATAATAAAAGAACTCTTACTTTACACGATTAGTATCACCCAACATTCACATATGGCAAAAAAATACCTACAAAATAATCTGTCATAAATTCTCCTCACTATGTAGTCACAATAGAATCTGATCTCACTCACAGAATCTGAGCTGGAAAGACCCTCAGAGATCACACCGTCCATCCCCTTACGTGATAAATGAGGGATGGAGACCCAGGCAGGTGAAGTGTAAGAGTCCAGCATATAACCCTATGGCAGAGCCTGGGCAGGCTGCAGGCTTCCTGAAGCTTACTTAATTCAAGGTCCCCTCCTCTTTAAAAGGCTCTCAAAAGTAAAACATGGTGATGATCTCCAAAGATGCACCAGACAATAAAGCACATGCACTGACACAGGTCAGCGATTTGGTCTCATGAGACAGTTCCTTTGGCCATTGGGCAGATATGTAACCCACCTCAGGGTGGGAATACTTTGCACAACATTATTCAGAGTTCTGATGAAAGTCGAGTGCAGGTTAGACATGACTTCTTGGATTCCAGTGGGTTCTTCCTAGCTGTCAGTCCATGGTGGGCACACGGTCAGCTGCACAACGGAATCCCAAGTTTGATGAAGAGCTATCAGGTGTGTTCTGGCTCCGAGCAGCACAGCGATACCTATAGCAGTAAGACTGTGCACAGAGAAAAAGTGAGGTAAGTGCTACTAGGACCCTCAGCTTAGGCCTTAGGCTCTAACCTGTCCGATATGTGCTGCACACAGTGCCAGCTGGGGAGAGGTTTATGCCTACCTGACGATGCAGCTTCCCATATCTCCCTCTTGGACATTTAATGTGTGTGCTTTACAAAAGGCAGTGCACTCAAGGTTAGCCACATACCACCAAGGTCCTTCACCTCATAAGTATCACATACACATAGTACAAAGAGGTTGGTGTCACTACTTCACAAATGCAAAAAAGAAAAAAATAACAACCCATGGCTATGTAAGTTTTGGCACATCCAGGACAGATTTTCAGTGGCTACTGAAAATCATGTCTTTATATAATATGTAAAGACAAAGGAAAGTCTTATGAAGTTAAAATTGCAAGTGTCGGAGGATGGAGGCCAGGTACAGTGGCACAAACTTAAAATCTCATCTGCTGTAGAGGTTAAAAGGGCTGCAATTCAAAGCCAGCCTGAGCAAAAACTTAGCAAGACCACACCTCAACAAACAAACTAGATGAGATAGTATATACATGTAATCCTAGCCACGTACGAGGCACAGGTAGGAAGACTGCAGTCTGAGGCTGACCCTGGGCAAAACAAGCACAAGAACCTATCTGAAAAATAATAAAAAACATAAAAAAGGCTAGAGGCATGGCTCAATTGGTACAACACTTGCCTAATAAGCACAAAGCCCTGAGTTCTAATCCTAGTACTGCCAAAAATAAATTTAAAAAAGCTAGGGATGTAGCTCAACGGCAGAGCACTTGCCTAGCACGTGCAAGGCCCTGGGTTCAATTCTATACTGAAAAAAAAAAAATTAAAATACAAAACTGTATATATTATATGACCTCAATCTATATTATCATAAGTGTATATTAATTTTTGACATTATAATAATATAAATGGCAATTGAGAAAAATATTAAGATCAAAGTATCTTACAATATTTCAATAGATTGGCAAAAAATTAATCAGCAAGTTTAGGAACAGCAAATGTTAAGAAAGGCTGATGGGAAGCATTGCTTCTTTTTTCAGTACTCTTGGAGTTTAATCATAGTAAAACATGAGGCTACACATTTTTGTGTGTATTGTTTGTTTCTGCGTAATTCTGCGTAATTTTTTTAAGAATGAGAATATACATATGAACGCAGTCACTGAGCATCTAATACACACTAGGCATGGTGCTAGGCACTTTTATCTATTTTATCATTTGACTGTAACATCCCAGAGACACCAAACAAGTTGTGCAAGAAAGTAAGATTAAAACCCAGTTCTAACTATAGTGTCATTGCCCCTACAGCAAGATTTACACTCCCAGGGTGAAGGGTACCTCATCTCATGTCTTCCTTCCCACTGCCCTGGTATGTGTGTACACACATGTACACACACACACACTCACAAACAGGCCAGTCTAACACATACATATGGCCACAGAGCACGTATGCAGTGGATGACCATGGTTTACTTGCTACAAATATATCAAAAGCTACCATATTCCAAAAACAACCGTGCATGGAGATCTTGCTAAGTTTGTTCTCTGATCCAAAATAACAGAGGATGAAAATAAATGAATCACCCCGTGTGCCATGAGCATAAACTCTGAGTTGGTTCAGTGAAACTCAAGTTACTGCCAGCTAGTTAAAGAAGCTGTAAAAAGAACTGTGTGAAAAATTCGGAACTCATGCAGAAGAGATCATTTGTGGGAAGAAAAAATAGGTCCACGTGCAAGATTTTTTTAAAAATTCCTATCATTTTCTTTACTCTCATGAAATTCAAATGCTTTTACTCTTCATAAAACTTATCTCTAAAGGTGACATGGAAATTCTCTGGAGCATTTCCACAACAAAAAGAAAGACAAAATGCTTTGTCTTCTATAGACAGTAAAACAATAGCAGGCAATTTTCTCATTTTCTTTGTGGCCATTGAGGAATATAACATATTTGCAATTCTCAGGAAGATGGAGGGAAAATGAATTTTTAAAAATGTGCTTGAAATAATAAAAAAAAATTAATGACATCTGTTACAATGTGTAGAAGCTCTCAACTGTCTGGGGGTGACCACATAGGAAGATGCAGAAGACTCAGTCCTTGCACACACTACTTACTGGGCTGTCATGAAACAACAGTGCTTTGGTATGGCTAGAATCAAACTCCAATGATGATCCAGGGCCCCATACAACTAAGTATGTGCAGTGAATTCACAATGCATTAAGGGTTGGGTTCAGGGGGAGTTAGACAGATGACTTCAACATTCTTGTTTTGTCATTGTACCACACGTGATGAAAACAATCCTGATTGCCTACTGTGTGCACTCAGAGGAGCTCCATGGCTAGGCATAGTCTTGTCTGGCTGGAGACCACAGACTGGTTAAGAAAACAATGACTACACAGCAAACAGCTACAAAACAAGCCAGGGTCCAATAACTCTGAGGTTTCTAGTCAATATGGAGGAAGGAACTGTCACACCTTGTCTTTCGGAAAGACTTTTTGTAGAAGGCAGAACTTGACCTAGACAGGTGGTATATGGTTATGGTGGTAGTTCTTGGACATCAGTCTACACAAGTACAGCCTGGAAAGCATGTTTAAACACATATCCCTAGGTCACAGAGCCAGAAATTCTGATTCCACAGGTCTGGTGTGGAGCCCAAGAATCTGCGTTTCCAACAAGCTTCTAGGGGCTGCTGATGCTATAGCCCATCGGGCATACTTTGAGCAGCACTGATTTACAGGATTTAGAAAAGAGGAAAGAAGACTGATTAAGTGGAGAAGACAGTGACATCAGAAGATGGAAATGGAAAAATTCAGGCAAGTAAAGAGAATAGCAAAATCACAGCCCGATTGCATCACAGCATGGTTTATTTATTCATTAAATATATGAGCTTACAATATGCCAGATGCTATTTTAGGCAAGAGGGATACAATCAGAGCAAGATAAACAAGGTACCTGTTATCAGGGAGCTGACATTCAATAGGCAGTAGTCAGACAATAAACAGACCGATAAATTCAAGACTGTTTCCAGCAGTAGTCATCTCTGAAGAAAGCAAAATAAGGGGAGAGGACTGAGAGTGACAGTGGTTATTTTATATAGGGTGGTCTGAAAGGCTTCTCTGAGGAGGTGACAGGAGCTGAGTTACCCAAAAAGTTAGAGAACAGGAATTCCAGACAAAAGCTATGACTGGTGAAAGACAGATAATGGTAAGAAGCAGGAAATGTGGACAGATAAATGGGATGTAGTCCCATAACAGTCTTCTCTACAGACAAAGCAGTTGAGACTTAACAAAAATGAAAACTGGGGCAAACAATGTGCTACCCTGCTAATCAGCAAGGACAAAAATCCAAGGCTTACTAGCTATTTAAGCTCAGGCAAGGCCTTCTTGAATCTGTTTTGTCTTGGATAAAATGGAACCATTCATGAAATTATGTTAAAACGCTTCATTTGACCTTTACGTAAAAACAGTAAAGCACTAGACACACAGAAGGCATTACAACTGTTACATTTAATGCACCTCATACTCTTCATCCTGGAAACTCACTTTGCCTGTCTTATGTGACCTCCCTTACTGAAACAAAAGAAGCATCAGCCAGCTTTTAAGCAGGCCTTAAAGATCCCGTATCCTTGCCAGCATCTGAATGTGGGAATATGTGTGTTACATAAATGAGGGTGTCTCTGGTGATATGGCATAGGACTATGGTTTTTGTTGAATGGCCTATTTCTACCTGCTACAAAATCGAGAACATAACAATGCCGATGAATTGCTAGTTCCTACCCACAGCACTATGTTAAAATGGATTCTACAGCTGTGTCACGGCACAGTAGAAAAGAGATCCAGGACATGTAAGAGATTTTTATCATGATCATATTTGAAGATCCTGGTATACGCAAAGTAATTCCGTTCTTAAAATACAAAATTACATAAAAAGTTTGGCATAATACTATTACTAGTTTTCTACAGGAAACAAGATGATTTTTATTTTCTACCTTATGAAACAAAAATGTTTTGTTTACATAACAAAAAGCTTAAAATCAACAATAAAAAACAGTCCATTATTAGATCACAATCATCCCTGAGACCTTCCATTAACCAAAATGACTATGAAGAACTAAATCTGAAAAGCAAACCTCACTTCAAAAGTTAGTATTGAGAGGCTGGGGATGCAGCTCAGTGGTAAAGCACTTGTTAACATGCACAGGGCCTGGGTTTGATCCCCAACACTACACACAAAAAAAAAGAAAGAAAGAAAAAAGGTTGAGGTAACTGCAGAAGAGTCAATTCACACCATCATTCCATTTCAAATATATTCATTCACTCAGCAAATATTTATTAATAAGTTATTCACTTTAATGTTTAATAATGAGCATGATTAAAGAGTAAATGGCCTGATTCTGAATGTTCTTATTGCTCTTTTTTTTTTTCCTGAATACTTTTAGCACCAAAAGTGGTTCTTAAAGATCTGAGGTCTTTGGGTGGCTGAAAAATGGGTCATTCTATTAAGAACAGGAGTAGTAGGAAGGACGTTTTTAGCCCTAGTTCATCAAAATGGATAATTACTATGTGAAATTGATCTCAATATCTGTGCTAAGAATATGATGCTAGACTTGGGAACAATCGATTTGAGATAATGACTTACCAGTCTTGGGACTCTGAAGTCAAGTAGGACAGCAATATGGTTTTTATGAGAGGAAAATTTTGCAGATGAAAGGGTGTTTTTAAAGTAATTGTGGCTCATATCAAATAAAATTATTATGGGGAATCACACACCAGAACCCAGGTCTCCTGATTTCCATCCATCTTCACTGACACTATACCAATCTCTTTGTTTGTCACCTGGTGGAGGGAACAGCATTTCCTGAATGCTGTGAGTTGGGCTGAAGATTCCACAGGCGTTAATCTAATGACATCAACAGCCACAGCTATACATCTTGAGTTCTTGCTATGTGAGTTGCTCTAAGTACTAAGTCAGTTAACTCTGCCAATAATCCTATTAGTACCTGCATTATACATAAGTTAAAACTGAGGCCCAGAGATATTAATAGTGGAATTCCTGAGTGGTGGGTTCAGGATTCCAGTCTATTTAATCCCATTCTAGAGTCTGGGCTCTTCATGCTGTGTTGCCTCATAGCTTCTCTATCTGTGCTCTCACCTCTTTACTGAAGTGTATTTCAGATGGACTTTCAAATTTGTGAATGATGGTAAGAGTTTGCCTTAGCCATGCAAACTAGCCCTGGCCCATGATCAAAAATAAGTTACCTTCTAATCAAGGTAATTAAAAAATAAATTACAACAATATTCTTTCTTTTATTGATTTGCTTTCTATGCCATGAACAACGTTTCTAAAATTCTGCCTACCAACTTCTGAGTTCATTTTTTGGTTCCTTTTTTTAAGGAACATTAGAACCTATGCAAAAAACTACTAAAGCAAGAAAAAAAAGTGGGGTGCTGGGAGCGTGGCTCAAGTGGTAGACCACCTGCCTAGCAAGTGTGAGGCCCAGAGTTCAAACCTCAGTACTGCCAACAACAACAACAAAAAAAAACTGTCTATATTCACTGATCATATTGTAAGAAAACAATCTTTTCTACCAAAGTATCTGTTACCCTCTTAGATTTCTTAAAAATTCCTCAGGTCGCTATCTTAAGTGACTTGCATGTTTAGAGGGTCTTTGCTTCTTCTTCCAGATTCCTGTACAACTCCATTGCCCACCAAACTACATGCCCTAACCCATCCCCCAAGTCTTCTAGCCAATGAGGGAAATTGTGAACCTTTGACCTGGACAAATCCCAGGTGAGGGGCAGGTACAACTGCGTCAGGGATATAAGCAGGAGCCACTGTCGGCCATTTTGTGCTTGCATGTTTGCTTAGGGGGTGTGAGAACATGCTTGCACCCCCTTGATCAAGAGAAATTGCCTTGTCAAGATTTTCTGTCTCTTGTGTGTCTGTTTTTGGCACCAGAGAGTTATTAATTCCAACAATATGATTACCTTTGTAAAAAAAAAAGTCTGATAGAACCTATAAAAACTTTACTAGAACTAACAGATGAGTTTGTCAAGATCGGGGAATACAAAATAAACAAACAAAGATCACAAATACAAAAATATAAAAGCCACTGGGCACAGTGACTCATACCTATAATCTCAGCTACTCAGGAGGCAGAGATCAGGAAGGTCATGGTTGGAGCCCAGCGTAGGCAAAAGGTTAGTGAGATCCCATGTCAACCAATAGTTGGATGAGGGGATACACACCTGTCATCCCAGTTATGTGGGAGGCATAAATAGGAGGATCCAATAGGAGGATCCAGGCAAGCTTGGGCATAAATACAAGACCCTATCCCCAAAATAACTAAAGCAAAAAGGCCTGAGGATGTGGTTCAAGTGGTAGAGTGCCTGCCTGGCAAGCACAAGACCCTAAGTTTGAGTCCCAATACTGCCCAAAACAAAAGTCAATTATACCATGTAGTGTATTTAATAAAAGCATATATTAGGTTAAAAGCTATTTTTAAAAATGAACTAGGAAGCCTATGAAAGCATGAGTTAAAAATACAAAACATTAAAGTAGATACAAAAATATGCACGGAATTGGTGTATTTTAGTGTTCCTGCTTCAGATGTTTTCCTTTCTTCAAGCTTCACTTTTCCCATTTATTCTTGATGAAAAATCTTCTGGTCCCCAATTACTCAGAGAAGAAGTGGATTTTCAATTAAGAAAAGTGCTCTATGTTGGAGACATTAACTGGTTGCAACTGGAGTTTTGAGATACTATTATACAGAGAGACCACCCATTTTTCATGGAAGTCTGGTTACCCAGCAAGAGATCCTAACACACTTATAGTTACACTGTCAGTTCAGAGAAACAACCTGAGAGAACGTAAATGCATCAGGAAAACTGGGGCAACGTATGTCATTTAAAACTAAAAACAGGATTTCATGGTGATGTGTGCTGTCATCTCAGTTATTCTTTAGGAGGATGAGACAAGAAAATCACTTCAGCCCAGGAGATGGAGGTCAGTCTGGACAACATAGTGAAACTCCCTTTCAAAAATAAATAAATAAATAAATAAAAATAAGATTTGATAAAGTTAAATTTGCCCACATCTTGTTATACATGTAGATATAAAGCATAAATTGAATTCCACCTGAATCAATGGATTAAATATTCTAAACTAAGAACTGCAGAAGACACACATGCCTACAAACACATGTGTGCATCATCTAGAGAGACTCTCTTTAGGTCAGTACTTGTCAAACTTTGCTGTACATTTTAACACATGGAGAGCTTCAAAACAAGGCTAAAGCCCAAGTCACACCCCCTTCCAAATCAAATCATATGGGGGCAAGTGGGGAGCCAGGCATCAGTGTACTTTTTATAGATCTCTGATGATTCCAATGTGAAATAAAGTTTGAGGGCAAAGCTTGCTAATGCCTCCATTATCAAATTAGTAACTTAATTTGGAGCCATTATAGGTGGTGTTAAGTCTCTAACTGCCTGGACTGAGCAAATTACCATGCAAAGTTTCTTGGTAACAACAAACTGCAAAACACCATTTTTATACAGGGACAGAAGACAGAAGCCGAAGTGCAGGAGATACTAAAATTACATGACTCAAAGAAAAAGGGAAGGTATGGTATTTTATGTCCATATTCCTTATAAAGGTTATCTGTGAAACACCAAGTCACTCAGATAAACCAAAGGCTGCAAGCTTGGACAGTGAAATCAGTCCCAAGGGGCAGAAATACACACACTTCCATCTAGAACCTGTGAGATACTTCCATTTCTAGACTGCTACAAACCATCCTTCACTTACAACTCTCACTTGAATCTCTACAGAGAACCCAGAAATTTACAGAAGTTTTCAAATATATTACCAGTGTGTTTCCAGACTTACATACAGGAAGGCCCACCCTGGTTCATGGAACAAGAAAGACTTCTCAAAGGGATAAGATTCAACAGAGGAAATTTGGTTGGCAATAGGTCATTCACAACCTGTTTCTCCTGCCCGTTACCAAACTTAGGATGACTGTCCTACTTTTTTCTGGTTTCAGTGGGAATAGGTATGTATTAGCAAAAATAAAGGGGACATTTTGTTTTTTATAAAGGATCCCTCAACCATTAGAACATTAAACCCGAGTTTAATGGCATGACTTACCTTGTGGCACATATAGGATCCACCTTTCTTTACACGGTCTCTCCCAGAAGGGGGGCCTTTCTATGGGTGAAAAGAAAATAATTTGTTAACCTAGACAATATGGATCCACATGCATTTCTGCCCCTCCCAAAAGCCCATGTCCCCAAATGCCTTCCCACCCATCTTCTATGGACACACCTTAAATTCCCACTGATCAGTGAAGTCTTCATGGCTACAGGAAGCAATCCCCCCTTTAAACCCCTACAGCATTTCTTGCCTAAACGACTAATAAACTCCCTGGCAGCATCTCTTACAATGTCATCCTCATATGCAAACTTATCCTGCATTATCACTGGTTTGCTCAACCAGATAGCAAGCTTTTTTAAATGATATGTTTTTATAATTTAACTGTGAAACACCTAATAAACTCTCTGCTGAATAAGTGAATTATCTTTTTTCTCTTTTTAAAAAATTTTTGGGTCAGGTTTATTGAGATATAATGCAGATACAGTAAAATCCACTCTCTATTTAAATGCAGTTTCAATGAACTTTGACAGCTATATATAGTCATGTGAGTATAAGCATAACTCACATACAGAACATAGTTTGTCTTCTTTTTAGAAAAACAAGATTTATATAATGCCTACTACGAACCAGGCATGGTTCTGAAACTTTGCAAGTATTAACTGGTGCACGCTCCAAAACAACTCTGGAGGAAGGTTATTATGTAAGCCACAGATTCACCCCCAGCAGCCCTGATCCAGAGTCTATGCTCTGAAACACTCTGCCTTGCTTCCAGTTAGAAACTAGAATGACAGGAAATTGGGGAGACCCTAAAGGAGACAAGACAGAAGTAGTGATGTCACTGTAAAGAGAATTAAAACCCAGACAAAGCAGCCAAAAGGGAAGACTGTTTCTTCTAGAAAAAGCTTCTTATTGATAAAAGTGCAATGGAAGTGAAAAATCCTAAAACTTCAATTGCCAGGATAAAAGCCTCAACATCAGGTAAGTCATTTAAAGAGCATCTAAGAACTACCAATAAGCTCCTATAAACCAGAGCCCTAGCAGGGGAACCCAGGTGGGGATAAAGATTTTTTTATTTTCCTTTGTTGTTCAAAAAGACATCTAATCACACAAGCCACCCACTCTGTTCATTGAAAACAAGAGAAGCCAGATAAACTCCCTATCTTAGTTTTCCCATTTCTAGTCACCACCTGTTGTCAAGGGCCACTGCCTAAGTGGCAAAAAGGGAAGAAGGTCCTGGCGCCAGAAAAGGACGGCCACCCATGCTTGTGATTATGTGGCCTGAGGCAAAACCTACACAAGAGTTCTCATCAAGGCACACCTGCGAACCCACACAGGCGAGAATTTCTGCCTTACCACTGTGACTAGGGTGGCCGTGGGCGGAAGTTCACCCACTCAGATGAACTGACCAGGCACTTACGAAAACATACAAGAAACTGCCCCTTTCAGTGCCAGAAGTGCAATGGGCCTTTTCCAGGTCGGACCACCTCACTTTACACATGAGGAGGCACTTTTAACTCCCAGACAGTAGATATAACCCACACTGCCAGAAGAGAATTCAGTATTTTTTTTTAACCTTTCACACTGTCTTCCCACAAGGGGAGGAGCCCAGCTGGCAAGCTCTGTTGCAATCATGGTCAAGTTCCTAACAAGTCAGCTTATGAATGGATAATCAAGAGAAAGAAGGAATCCAAAAGACAAAATCAAAGAACAGATGGGGTCTGAGACTGGCTCTTTTACCGTTCCAATTCTAAATCATCTTGAACATGCCTAGACTTAAAAATGCCAAGGGGGTGACTGGAAGTTGTGGATATCAGGGTATAAATTAGATCCGTGAGTTGGGGGAAGGGAAGACCAGAATTCCCTTGAATTGTATTTCGATGCAATCCAAATGTAAAGATTACTATGTGTTCTCTTTGCCATTGAAAAACCATTACTCTGTTAGAAGAAGAAATTCAGATACAGAAAAATGTGTTCTAATAATGATGGTACTTGGTGACTCTTGGTTCTAAAGATACCAAATGAGGAAGCCTAAATTCTCAAACTCCTGCATACTTTGACAAAAAATTTCTTTTGTCTTCTGATCCACGTGTATGACCTAAGTGAGGTACATATACCTGGGTTTACTCCTTTAACATTTTTACGCAGACCGTCCGTAATGAATTGTGGTTTCGGATGTGCACTAATTTCTACAATGGTTTATTCCCAAGTGTGCCTTAAGCAGAACAAATGTGGTTTTTTTCTATATAGTTCCTTTCCTTAATAAATATGCAATTTTTAAAAAAGGATCATGTTTTTTCCAAGCATGGCTAAAACCCTGTCTTGCAAATGTTAACTAGGTAGGCAGAAGTGCATGTTTTCTTCTAAGTATTTCCAGATATTTAAAAACTAAACTGTCCCAGGGCCAGGCACAGTGGCTTATGAGATATCTGGTGGATCACAGTTAAGTCCCCCAGGCAAAATGTTAGTGAGACCCTATCTCAATTAATAAGCCAGGAGTCCGCTACACAGGACACCACAGAGTAGGTGGATCACAGTCTGAGTCTGAGGCACAGGCCAGCCCCAGGCAAAACTGCAAGACTCTACTTGAAAACCAACTAAAGCAAATAAAGAAAAAAGGAAGGAAAAAGGAAAGGAAAGGAAGGGAAGAGAAACTGTCACAAAGTCTTTGGCTGTTCTTTCCTCTCTGCACTACATGTGAAGATAAAAACAAGCAGCACAGCTTTCTTCCCAAGAATTTTACCCACATCACACCAGAATCTTCCAGGTGAGTTCGTTATTGTATAAAAGTAAGTCGTTCACCAAGAATTCACTGCAGCAGAAATTGAAGCACTTATGACTGTTTATCTGTCCCATGCAAGGGTCACACTCTTACACCTCACTTTTTGATCGGGCATTCCTGCATACTGCATGTTATCATGTACCAAATGACAATCTGATTCTGATTAAAGCCTCATAATATCTACTAGCATGCAAGATTAGATTCTTATGTCAAGATACATCTAAGAACAAGAAAGAGCTGGTTTGCCAACAGGAAGATGCAAGAACAAAATTCTATCCTTTCATCATCTATCCCAATGACTTAAGGTTACAATCGTTAAGTATGACACTCTCAGAGTGACACAGCACCAATGACAGTCATCCTCTGTTGATGCCATGATAGTAGTTAATACAGTCTTAATCTAGGTGACTGCTCAGCTGGTTATTATACATAAGACTGTTTTTGCTAGAAAGCAACATGTTGTAGGATTTTCTTCAACTGTTGAAATGCTTGCCACTTTGGCAAAAAGCTGAAAAATTACTAGGAAGATGTAGTGGGTTGAATAGTATCCATAAAACTCATGTCCACTAGGAAACTTAAAGAGTTACAGATTATTTTTTTAATCTCTTTACAAAGATTTTATTCATCTTTTCAAAGAACCAGCTCTTTGTGTCACTGATTTTTATCCCTATTCTTCTTCTGTTTTCAATTTCAGTGATTTTTGCTCTTTACTATTTCTTTCCTTTTGCTTGCTTTGGTTTAGTTTGGTCTTTTTCTGGGTTCATGAGTTGAAAAACATACTGGCTTAAGTAAGAACTTTCTATTTTGTGTGTGATACTAGGATTGAACCCAGGGCCTCATGCATGCTAAGCATGTGCTAGCTTTTCTACTTTTCTAATGTACGTATGCAGTGCTACAAATTTCCTTATTAATTAACACTGCTTTCCCTGTGTTCTGAAATTTTTCATGTGTTGCCTTTCCTTTTCCTTTAATTCAGCATATGGTTTGGTTTTCCTTGGGACTTTCTCTGTGGACCGAGGATTAGAAGAGTGTTGTTTAGTTTCTGTGAGTTGGGAGATTTTCCTATTATATTTCCATGTTGATTTCTAGTTTCATTCTACTGTGACTGGAGAACACATTCTTTACAACTTGAAATTTTTAAAATTTGTTAAGGTTCACTTGATGGTGCAGGAATACAGTCTACCTTGGTGAATATTATATGAATACTTGAAAAGAAGGGTATTCTACTGTTACAAGGTAGAATGTTTTAGAGATGTTAATTAAATCTCATTGGTTGATGGTATTATTTAGTTCATCTATATCCCTGCCGATTTTTATCTAATTTACTATCAATTGTGGAGAAAGGGGTGTTAAAGTCTCCAACTATAAGTGAGGATTAGTATAATAATTACACATAGTATATCTTGCTAATGGGCTTTGTCTTTGTGAATCTACATCATCAAAGCTGAAGGCAGTGAGAGTCTGACACAGCCCGTCTGACTACGTGGATTCCAGGCCATGTTCAAGAGTTCCAGATTACCTTTGCTCTCCCCACTACACATCCACGTTTCTTTTCCAACGGCTTTCCTTACAGACCTAAAGCACTTGCACCAAACGTGAAGAAAACAACGCTACAGTCACTATGTAAGTAACATACTCAAAGCTCAGTAACAAACTCCTTTTTATGCACATGCATGAGCACACACACATATACACACATACGTACACATATATACACACATAGACACTAGTAGTTCTATTTTTGATTAGATGACAGTTAATAGTGACCTATGCATATATTCTCCTTGTTTTCATTTATATCATAGCATTTTCATAACAAAAAACTAAAAAAGTAACATACACCCAATATGTTAACAACTAGAGTCAATAAAGAACTTTTAATAATGTTACTTAAAGAGAAAAGAAAGGACTAGTTTTTTTACTTTTTAAATTTGCACTCATGAATTACTTATTCATTCTTTTAATAAAAAAAAATAGGGACACATTCAGTCCAATAAAAACCAAAATGCTCTGGCATGTATTTTATCACTTCAGTGCACTCACAGATAACACTCTATTAAAGCTTGGAAGTACCTTTCCTATTGTGTTTACTATCTCGTTACAATCAATTCTCAGCCTTATATAGCACAATGCATTTTTCAAACCAGGAATAAGAGTTAACTTCTGAAAAGAGGATCAACCACCATTGTCACACTTTCCTTGCTACAGCAATAACCTCTTTAAAACTCAAGCATGTGAGACAACACTCCAGTGGTATCCGATGCTGCCTGATGGT